TTTGGTCAGGGTATAAAAAAGGATCTGGGGGGGGGGTAAATTTTGGTCGGGTGTATAAAAAGTATTCAAGGGGTGGGGAGTTGAAGATAGCTTGGGTAATGACTATAACATAACTGTAAATGTTTCTACTTGACTCCCCAAACCTAATTGTGTCCAGTGATTGAAAATTATTTTGGCATAATTTCCTGGCCCCGGGGTGGGGATTCAGGTGGGGTAGGGGTGGATAAACATACAACTGTAATCTTCTGATCAACTTCTGAACTGTTTGTGATTAAACAAATTTAAACAATTTTTTTTTTTCCATGGGGGGTACTTTTTATACAGGGGGAGTACTTTTTGGTAGGGATATAAAAAGTTTCCGGATACTTTTTATTTTGCATAAAAAGTATCTGGATACTATTTAAGCAGGAGGTACATTTTATGCATGACACCGGTAAGCACTTTTTCTCTAGGGGAAGCAGTCTGTTTTCAGCTGTTAAACAAGGATAAGAATTACCGATACCTTCATGACTGTGAAGCAGCTTAACAAGATGGTTGACACGCCCCTGGCTGGTAGGAGACAATCGCCCATTGTTTACATTACCCTGACTGTCAACTTGATCTGAAAACAAAAGTCAATGATCAATACCATAATTTTACATTTATATTTCAACAATGCAATCATTTCATTTTGCAAACCTGATGACAGTATACGACAAGCTACCTTCAAGCCTTCTTAAATATTGCATGTTTCGCGAAAGTAACAGGTAAGTGAATTACCATAACAGTTACAATCCAGACTAAAACTTATTGACACCCTGACACGCTGAATACGTTTAGCTGACTGTGTTACATTGTACCAAGTGATCAAATAATAACAGTACATTTGTATAGGTATTTTCAACATAATCTCTCACCATTTGACTCTTCTGTGGATTGACTCAGGGTCAAAGTTGAAAGGTCGGGAGGACTAGGTTCTGTACACTCGGTGGCCATGGCAGTAATTGGCTTTGACTAGAGATCACAGGTTACAAACATTGACTAGATTAGTAAACTGCAGTCCATATGTTGTACCTGCAAAACAAAAACACCAGTAAGCAAATTTTCATATCTTGTCAAATTTGTTTTTTTAAACATCTGTAGCAGGACATGACTGGGTCGATCTTCAGTTGCCAGGTAGCTCATATCGTAGAGCTTCTGTCTAGAGTACCTCAAGCGGGTCCTGGGTTTAATTTGACTTTTCATATTTTACTTTGGGGTCTTTCCTTCAGGAAAACTCGGACTGATTAATACTGACATACCAGGTTACACAGGACTATCAAATAATCTATTGAACTAGTCCTTTGTCCTGCAACCAAGCACAAATACCCCGTAGTTAGTCTATGTGCATTTCTGCTCGAGATTTCTAGGTATGTGTGTCAGGTATTATTTACAGATATCATTTTTATTAGCTTTTTGATAGCCTAATCCTCACAATATCTATTTTGGAGAAACTAAGATGGCATATCAGTGAACTGAAATGTACATTATTAGAAATAGTGAAAATTGCAGATAACATACTGACCAATCAAATATTCAATATCAATTCTGTGAATTTCGGATAAGATATCTAAGATATCTGTACGTTGTAACGAAGTATCACAAATTAATCTGCAACACTGATGTTCCATATACCGGTAGATGTAACTCATTTTTAAATGAATGCTGAGCTTAAATAACTGAATTTGTACAGTTCAAAAAGCAAACAAATTCAAGTATTATATTTAAATGTCTCTGATAACACTATCCTGTGTGTATGTATTAGTAGGCACAGCGAGGGGGTTGTTGTAGTTCAGAATGTATATATATTGATGTTGTCTAAATTCTAAATCATTAAACTTAAAATTATATCAGAATTAACTCATTCACCCCTGAAATTTCATAATGAACTATTCCAACCTTTGGACAGGAAGAGTTCAAATGAGTCTTCAGCGGTGAATGTCTAAGCCAAATATAACAAGAGATCCCAGAGGGATCTTGGCGCAGGACCAAGTAATATCTTCTCATACCATCTAATTGACAACTCAGTCATATCTATTTCTAAATTATCGCCTGCTGAAAATGGACAAAATATAGCCAAAAGCATTATAAAACTATAGTAAAATTTATGCCCTCTCCAAGGATCAAGAAAGGATCACGAGACGGTTATAAAATCCCAAATTCAGACGAAGCACCTATTGTCTTTCTTTAATTTCTGTAATTAAAATGATGATTAGCACACACGTATTATTATATATTGACTTTCGATATATTAATTAATAAAAGATCTATGGCTAGTGTTTTGAAGTAATGCAACTTTCCCCCAGTAAACCTGTCGTTAAGCTTATCATGCGGTGAACATAATTTCTATGTTTTCCAACAATAACCGCATCATGTATAGAAAAGATCAAACTAAACATGTTTCCAGACTTGAAAATACAGAAAACCTTCCTCCTTAAGCAGATAAGATTAAAAACAGTCTATCAATTGGTTCACCAGATCTTCAGCCGTCCATCCGAATGAAATATTTTGATAATCCGCTGGAGCATCATTGACGGTCAACAACAATGGTTATGTGTTTACTTGACACAATCCCACCTTTAAATCTTCAGTTTAATACATCCAAGTTTGGTTCTCTTGAAGATCACACCGTCCAAAGATAATAGCTGTTCACTTTTCTCAGTTGAGGCATCTACCCCCAGTAATAATTTCAACTCTATGCTTAATGTTAGTACAGGAAATTCAGGAATTGCCTCTCAAACGATATTCTTCCTGTACGTATTGATTTAACAAAGTTTTAAACAAAACCAGGTGAAGTTTGCTTACCAGGTAATTTCCATAGGCAAGACAGGTGTCCATTGCTATTAAATGCTGAAGGTAAGAAATGTATCTTGTTACATTTCAAACAGAACTGATTATCTAGGTACAGTCTACCTGGTAAGGCTTTATATATTCACGGAACTGGGGTACAACATGGGGGATCATATTTCTGATGTACTAATTGCTACTGGGTACGTACAATAAAAAGAACACAATTATGAATCAGAAATTACAACCATTTTCTTTAACAAACAATGCAGACTTCAGATCAGGTTTAATCTCTTCTTTTATTTTTTTTATATTGTTTATTTATTTATTTGTGAAAATAAACCATATGCGTATCAAATCTATCACCTTGTTTCTCTGTGTGCCGTAACAACCACAGGAGCAATTACATTTGTAGCAGGGACATATTTTAGTGTGTTTGCTAATTTTATGTTTTTTTTATATTTTGTATTTTCATGATTGTCCAACGTATCGTGTAACGCATCCGAAAGTTGCGTTGTCTGTTATAGTATCCTACCTAAGTGTTTTACCTTTCTAATATTCTCTATCTGCACCTCTTTTCTTATAGATAGAATGAATATAGGATGCAGGTATGCAAATTTTACCCCTTGAGTATCGACGTTGACCAATGCAAGGATACAATTTAGCAATCCAGGTTTTATTTTGAGTGATGCATTTGAACAAATTTTTCTCCTGTTTTTGTAAAAGCATCAAATCCATCAATAAAGATTTAGGAATTATATTATTTTCTGATTCATAAACAGAAGCAAAATCACTTTCTTAAAAAATTCTGTGTTTTATAATTCTGGATTTTACTTCAATCATGATATTGCGAAGAAAATAATCTATACCATATTATTAGGAATTCGGATGAATTTAGGCCCTAAACATATATGCAGGAAAAGTCCCCTGTAAAGTGCCCCACACTGAAAACATACTGTCGCACATTTAATTTACACAATAGTAATTTCACAATAGTACAGATTTGGAATTTATAACCGCGACTAAACTAGTTATTATATACATATATAGTACTTAGTTATGTAAAACTATACTTTCTTACATTGTTACTGATGTATTTTACAACAGAGTCCTTTAACTAGAACGACTTTAGAACATTGATAAAGATCATCCTGATACTCTAGTTATACATCATTATATGCAGGTATATATATAAATTCTAAAAAGAAAAAATCTCAACAACTAGTCTTTAGTACTTTCATCTCTTCTAGGAGATTCTTCAGACTGTTTATTTGAAGTATATGTTGTGACGTCAGAAACTATGACATCATTTGAAAAGGGGATTTTCATTATTACACCAGTCTGTGTGACGCAATTATATTTTTCTCATAGGTACATATTTTTAGTTACATTTAGAACTTATTTAACACAAAGGGACCTGAGAAGATAAACACAGGGAACCGAGAATTAGCACATTATATATATAGACTTTTCATACACAAAGGAACCTGATAACTACTGTAGCATATTATTATTAAAACATTTTTACACACAGGGACCTGATAACATTTTTTATGCACAGGGACCCGAGAACTGGCACAGTTTAATATTGTAACAGGAAGAAGAAGAGCAGTGCGCTTCCACTGGGGATCAAACCTGTGACCCAGTATAGCTTCCTCACTACTCTCCCTTTTTTAAATTGTGTTCGCCCTTGAACATCACAACTAACAAACTCCCAGTCACCACAGGGAGGGCCACGGACACCATTTGCAACAGACAAAAAAGTGGTGTGATTCAACCGGGGATCGAACCCGAGGCCCCAGACTTCCTAGTCAGACACTCTACCACTGAGCTAAAGGGAAATTCCCTCAAGCACGAAGCTAGAAGACAACCATAATTCTATATCAAAATTAAGATATGCCATGTACACTAATCCCCCCTTTTCAAATGTGTTTGCCCTGGAACACCACAACTTAACCCAGATTCTAACTCCCTGTCACCACAAGGAGCGCCACAGACACCGTTTGTAACAGGAAAGAGAGTGGTGTGCCTCCAGTCCACCGGGGATCGAACCTGCGATCCAGGACTTCCTAGTCAGAGACTCTATCACTGAGCTTTAGTTAAGGACAACTCCCTCTAGTGTGAAGCTAGAAGGTGATCATATTTCTATGTGAGAGCAAGCTTAAGGATGACAGTTACAACACAAGAGTTGGATTCACTAACAAGAAGTGGGTCTAAACAACTACATGTACCAGGTACATATCTAAATTTATCACATAAGGTACTGTGATATCCAGTGAATATACCCATGTCATATTTTTTTGCATATTAACCCATGTAACATGACCTATCGGCCCTGTGATTGGCTGTAAGTTTAAATTGTTTCAATTGTGACGTCACGCCTAGAGGACAAGTACATGACGTCACAGGCAAGTTTCCGCACTGGAGTCAAAATGGCGGCTTTTTACATTACAAGGTTGCATGAAAATTGCCACAAATCTTGATTATGTGATAAAAATGATCTTACACTCATTTTCATTTCATATGAAATTTATGAAACTTGTCACAAATGTTTCATTTTAGCTCGCCAGAGACTCGCAGACTCGCTAAATTGAAAAATTTGTGACGACTTTTATAAATTTTATATGAAATGGAAACTCATGTAATATAGATCCTATATATATTCCATTCTCATTTCTTTTATATAAGGAAGTTAACCATAACATAAACAGTTCATTTGGATTGTTTCTACAATTACTAGATAACTTATCTAACGTGTTTTGAACAATTTTAGTAAATAAAATCTAGACGAGTTAGCTGAATATGGGTTTGCTTCCCAAATACCCCAATCTGATTAAAATCATATGTTACATGGCTTCATTAACTTCATACTACGCCTGAACATCTGAGTGTGCCGCGGTCAGGGTCACGTTCAGGTGACCTTTATATTTATAAATACTCATTAAATTTTGACCAATCAGAGACCCTCTTTCAAAAGGGCGCTCGGAGTTGTAACAAATATGGCAGACATTGATGAGAATGATGCGAAAGTTCTGAAGATATTTGAGATTGATGGTCTGAAACCCGAACAGAAAAAGATATTCAAAACTTTATTAGAGAAGAAAGACTGTATGGCGGTGTTGCCTACGCAATTATTACCCAATGGGTATGTTTTCCTTGGTGTCATAGAAACGTCAGTTCCCCCTGCCATATTTGTTTTGGAAAACTAATCTGTTCGATAACCCTCACTATTTATCTATCAACCATGATATTCCGATTTGCTGGCAAACTTTTGCCAGCGCGCTTCTGATTGGTTCATCTACAGGTCACTTGACCTTGACCGCGGCACATTCAGAAGTTCCGGCGGAGCCATGTAACAGATGATTTTAATCAGATTGCAAATACCCAGCCCTAATCTACATATATATATCCAAGTCTGTGATAGAAATCACAGGGTCCTGAGAATTTGTTACAGCTATATTTGGACCTAAGCTAAGGTGTTCAGAGTAATTTTCCATGTTTTAGGGGTTTAGATCAACTTCCGGTAAAAATGACACCCCAAATGATCATATATATATACGACACTGTGATAGAAGTAAAACAATTCTTGAACGATGCCTGGTTTCTGAAAGTTTCAGAAGGTTTATGAAAAAACTATATTTCAAAGACCGAACGTCTGTGCACAGGTACAAGTCTCATCCGTCAATATACCTATGATATAATCAATTATATTATAGGTGTATTGACAGACGAGGCTGGTACATGTATCTGAGGTCTGTGGTGTATCGATCACAAGTATAGGGCTGCAACGATACGCATTCCTCACGATACGATACAAATCATGGTACAATGCTTTCGATACTTTATGTACCTTCATGTATTCAAATATCTGCTTAATAATGATTGAGTAAAGGATTTTGTAATAAACTTCAATAGTAAATACTATCGAAATATATTTTTGTATAATTTCTAGTACTTTTGGGTATGACTTAGTACTAATGTTAATACCCGGCCGGGGCAGAGGAAGCCAGGTATTAAATCGATCTCATGCCTTCGTTTTAATGGAGCGAGCCCGGTGTGAATCACACCAGGGCGATTTATGAATTAATTGACAGCAAATTGGTCCCCATCCATAAATTGGGTTGAAGTATGAACTATTTCTGTTGATATCCTGCACAACTTGAAGTTAAACTCTGCCTAAAATGTCGTTAAATTATCAAGTTAACGTAGCAAGTGCAATCGAAATCTGAATTGACCGCCATGTTGGAAAGTTCGTCTCGCTTCTGATATAGGTCAGACGTCTAAATATGGGCGTCATGACCCAATATGGAAATTGTAGTAAACATGGCAGCATCAGTAGTAATACTATATTTGGCCATGCAGGCCATATGGTAGCAGTGTACAGTAGCGTACGTTGGTCATTGGTGATATATTTGTACAATGAATAACCCCTGTATTTATTACATGTTTCAAAAAAAAAAAAAAAAAAAAAAAAAAAAAAAAAATTTGNTATACATATATGATGAAGTGGACTGTGTGGGCTTCATATTTAAAAAAAGTTGAACGACCTATGCTAAAACGTGAGTATTTCAGTTAACGGGTAGGTGATATTTAATTTAAGACAGGTTTTAACAAAAAAAATACTACTTGCGTGGGTCAAATTTTGGGTTAAAATTCATGAATTTTTGCAATTTTTTTGCATATTTGATGTGATAACCACAAGTCTCAACTCTGGGGAAAACACTTTTTGAAAAAAAAACACATTCTTCTAAAAACAAATGTAGTCAAATGTAGTTTATAAATATATGTATATATGAAGATGTGTTGTGCAGGATGAATCCACTATCCATGTTTACCTGAGACATGCCCTTTATTTTTAGGATCAGGACATTTCTACTGTACTCTAGAATATAGAAATACAAGAAATGTACATGT